TCTACTTTCTCTTCGCCCATCTCTGCTACGGCTGCGGCTTCTTCTTTCTTTCTTCAATTCTCCATGTCGTCCATTTTCTTCATGTTGCCGCCTCCGATCCCTATCTCTCTCACGTTCCCTACTTCTATCCCTTTTCCTGGGTTCCGATCTTTCTTCGTCACTTTGAGGTTCTTCCTTTTTCGTTTTTATTTGATCAAATACAGAAACGCCGGAGAAAACTGGCCGCTTTAAGTCCTATAATTGAAAGTTACAGGTTAAATTGTAAATTGAACAATCAGGTAGAAGGAGATAGAATGGGCAAGTTGTAAAAATAGTGAAATGGTGGCAAACACAACAATTGAGAAAAGGCCCCGAACAACCACAAAATACAAAAAAAAACATCCAAAAAGATATTGATAAAGAACAAGGCTAAAACAAGCTAGAGAATAGCTGTCAAACCTCTGCTGTGGGTTTCTTGTCCAGATTAAGGTCCAACGTGATTTTTTCATTCTCGTCTGTGCGTACAAGTTCAGTGGCTTGCGGCTCTACTACGTCACCTTGCAGTTCCAAGGCCCTAAAAACATCGAGGACAAAGGGCCTAGTTGAAGAATTTCTTCCTTAAATATGAGGAAATAACCTGCGGACTTGGGCTTGAATCATTTCTTGTTGCCGTTCCTCGTCATCTTTCTCTGCTTTCGCTCGCTTAGCTTCTTCAGCCTTGCGAATAACTTCTTCCTGGTCAATGTATTGGATGTACCAGCCTAAGTAATTTCAACTACAAAACTTGGAACGACTGCGAAAATTCCAGAAGCTTTGAAAAACAAAATAAAGAGAAAGATAGGTAAGGAAAGAACAAGAAAGAAAGAGCCTGAAAACCTTTCTCATTGTGATCAATTTTGCACTTGCCGCTGTTTCCTAGATACTGCACAAAACCAGTAAGAGTGTGCCAGACAGTAGCATTCATGTGAACGTGACCCTTAAGCGATAAATGTATAGCGAAGCGAGCTTAAAAACTGTGAAAAGCCTGATACAAAGCCTACCTTGTCCTTGATATATTCCTGGTACACCTCATTAGCTCGAATCCGCTTAGTACCATGACAAGTTCTCAGAATCTATTGAAAAAAGAATATGTATAGCAAATTGATCAGAAAGGAATTTGAGCACCTGCATGAAATTTGCTTCAAACTCTTTGCTAAACTGTCTGAGAAAAGAACCAGTGTTTTCAGCAACAAGAAGCAGTTGCCGTTGATGGGATTCGGAGGTCAAGTGACATTTGAAACCGTTCTGATCGCGACACTGTTTCTGACACATCTGACAGTACCTAAAAAAGAAAAGGCGGATAGAATTGTTAAGGAAGAAATACGAAAACTTTTGACAAACTGAGCATTTAGGAGTCTATGATTTCTTCAAATATTGGTTATCATTATTCAAAATTTACAAATGGATAAGCTAATGAATGATAAGCGTGGTAAAGTCCCTAAGCTGACTTTTCCTATATTTTTGTCAACACTTCGCCTGAACAGAAAAATAAACGCTAGGTGTTAATAACAGGATTCGGCGGAGGAAGCTTGTGAG